AAGAAAAACAATATTCTGAATCTCAGAAGCCAGAACAAGAAGAGGGATCGCTGCACAGCGAAAGCAGTGATCTCTCTTGCTGTTTTGGCTTCTGGGATAGCTGTGCAGCCTGCATTCACTCCATAAGACCCACACACATTTCCCCTTACTTTTTAGGAGGGGAAAAAGTGAGTCTTATAGAGCAAAAAATACGGTACTTTTCAACTATTATCTTTTTAATTTAGTTTTTATTAAAGATTTTATTGGATTACAAAAGTGCATGCATTGTCTCTATTTTCAGGTCGTAGAGTCTTTTCTACAGATGAGTTACATTCAATGTGAGGCGTTAATGTTGTATACAGTATAAGGTTGGGAGAGAAGATAGGTGGGAGAAGAGATGTTGTTAGTCTTCTGTACTATATCTGTGTTGTTTTAATTTGTGTAAGCCACATTGAGTACTAGTTTGGAGAAAAGAAAGATAAATAAACATCGTCATCATCACATATGTGGAAGGTACAGCTGCTACTCAGAGCATAGCGTAAAAGCAACCCCATCATTCCAGTTAACATGGAGCCAGAGTAAGCCTTGAAACTAGAGGTTGCCAACCTATTTAGTCCCATGGTCACATTTCTCTTCTCTCTCCCCATGGAATAGCCGCTCCTAAAGAAAGTGAGTGTCCACTTTTGCAAGGGATCTGAGTAAAAGTTGGATCAAGTAGAATTAATCTGAGCCTTGAAAAACTCACAGAGCTGAAAGTGGAACTGAGAAAGAGCATGAATCCTCCTTTGGCAGAACCCTCTAGTTCCCATGGTTCAACCATAGCTAGATCTTAAATACCAGTTTTTCCATGTTTACCTCTCCCTCCACTTCTCTACCTTCTGTTGTCTCTCCTGTGCCAGATTTATGGATTTCAAGCTCCTCTGGGCAAGGGCTTGCCCTCCTGTACTCTCTAAAGCACCTGCATATTGATGGTGTCATATGAATAAATAATAATGATATTTACAAGAATGTTAAATGAGGTGGGGTGTGTTCCAGATAGGAGAGGAAAAACAGAGCTAGTGCAAGATATTTGGAATTGAAAAGGAGTGAGCCATAAATTTGTGATTGTTGGGGTGGGCTGCTAGAATACTGCAAGGAGTTTGTCTAGATCTACCCCCAGCTTTACCAAAAGCATAGCAACCATCTACATAAAATTGAACTCAGTTACTTAGTGGCACATTTCACTAATCCATGCTCTCCACAATCCTTTAAACCCCAAAATCCAGTTGCAAGACTTTACTGTGTTTTAATATTGAAATGTATTGCTTTTTCAGCCCGCTGCTCTTGAAAAATGTAAAAGGCATCTGAATCTCAGGTGTGTGCATAGCATTACCCTGTGACCTTAACTTCTGCTTAACAAAGGTCTCTCCTTCCCAGGAATCTAAATACAATATTCAAGGGGGGGCATTTTATTTGGTCCCTGTAGGCCAGTTTTCTGGCTTAATTCAGCTAAATGTTTTCTGTGTCACTTGTCACTGAATTGCTTATGTTGTGGACACAAGGCTGCATCAAGGCTTTATGAGAGATGCCCTTGTTACAGACACAGTTCTGACACTGTTAAATATTCACATGGATCAGCACAACCTGTTCCAAATGAATTGAAGCGATTGTGCTGTCTAGGTGGAGGGTGAAGTAGCCCAGGAGGACTTGTTTGTATGAGTTTATATTGTGGCAGTACAGCAATAGGTAATTGCATGAAAACTTCTACAGATGCTCATGCAAAAATTCATTCCTAAGTAGGTCTACTCAGAATAAGTCCTGTTGAATTCAATAGAGCTTACTCCTAATTATGTGAGGTTAGGATAGCAGCCTAAATTATTACAGAAGAAACAGCAGAAGATAAACAAGGCTTTTGGTTTGTCTTCATAAGTGCGACCATTTGAGCAAGATTGGCACTCAATCAGGTATGTGAGGACAGCATTGCATTTAAGCTCTAGCCTAGTAGCAAACGGGAAAGTCACCCAGGGATGTGAACTGAAACATCAGCAATATACAGATGGCACTGCTGTATCTCCTTTTTCCACCTCTTCATCCCAGGGAGGCTGTTGAACTCCTGAACTGGTGCCTGGAAGCTGTTTGGGCTGAATGAGGGAGAACAAGCAGAGACTTTAGTCCAGACAAAATAGAGGCACTATAAGTAGGGAAAAATACTACTCTGGATAGAGGTTTTTGGCTGGTCTTAGATTGAGGTTGCACTCTCCCCTGAAGGACCAACCAAGTTTGCCCAGATGATGGCAGCCAAGAATCCTTTATAGGAGCTAGGAAAGGTATGCCAGTTGTCTCAGTTATCCATGCACTAGTGGGATCCTGACTATTGTAATGAACTGAGGCTGCCCAGACAACATGAGGTTGACTTTGAAGACGGTTTGGAAATTTCAGCTGGTGCAAAATTGTGGCCACCTAGGTACTGTTCGGTGCCAGGCAGTCAGTTCACATTACGTCTATATTGTACTAATTATGCTGTTTGCCAGTGTATTTCCAGTACCCATTTTAAAGTGCTGGCACTCAGAGTTACAGCTCACAGGGACAGCTGATACATGTTCAGGAGGTTGTTCCACAATAGGCATATCTCTAGCATGCAGGCAGCATTTGTGAGGGAATGGTTTGGGTGCTATGCAGGCTTGACATGCACAGACCCACTCACCCACTCAGGGCTGGCCCAATACCTTTTAGCACTTGAGGCAAGCCATAAAATGGTGTCCCCCACACCAGGGAAGAAGGGAGGAGTGAAGATATACATCAGGAACAATGATGAGGGTCAAAGCAACCTTACCTGATGGTAGAACTGGTAATCAAAGGCAGGTGCAGAGTCCAGGAGACCCCAGAGGGCAGCTCCTGTGATTTCCTCCATAGGAGGAAGACCAGCAGTCCCTCCTATTTGCCAAGAGGCCATTGTGGAGGCAGCAGATTGTGCCTCCAAGGAACCCTGGCACTGCAGCAGCAACAGAGGGCAATGCATTCCTCAGAGGTTGGATTTGCCACTTCTGTGGATTCTGCTGATAGAGGCAGTTGCCTCACCTTGCTTTGTGAGTGGGCCAGCCCTGCTCCTACCTCCTGTGAGGCTGGATGCCTGAATAGGCCTTGCATTGCATGTGCACTGAACCCCTTATCTAGTGGAAAGGTTTAGGATTCCAGTTTAAATTTGCTTGTCAGGAATAATTCCAATAGGAATCAGTCTAATAAAAAAGGTGGAATGAATCTGTGTTTCTTAATATTTCATGTATGTTAATCTTGCTTGCATCCGCCAGGACCTTGACTCTACTGTTACAGCAGATGAATTTCAAGAGATGTCCAGAATACTGTTATGTTGGAAGAGTTTCAGTTAGAAAGTCTCAAGGATGCAAACAAGGTGCTTGGATTGGTCAGGGTGGCAGTTTGTGTTCTGGACCCATGGCCCTCTTGGCTGAGAAAAACTAACAGGGAAGGGACAGCTGGCTGGACCAGGGAAGTATTAATGCTTCCTTGTGAGAGGGAGAGGGCCCCGTCTGCTTGAAGAAGGCAGTAGCAAAACCACTCATCAAGAAACTCTCCCTGGATTCAGAAAATCTAAGTAATTACCAACCAGTTGCCAATTTCCCCTTCTTGGGCAAGGTTCTTGAGCGAGTGGTCACGGGTCAGATCCAGGCGCTATTGGAAGAAATAGTTTTTCTAGATCCTTATCAGTCAGGATTTAGGCCCAGTTTTTGCACAGAAACCACTTTGGTCACCCTGCATGATGATCTCTGTCAAGAGGCAGGCAAGGGAAATGTGTCCCTGTTAATTCTCCCCAACCTCTCAGTGTATTTTGATACCATCAACCATGGTATCCTTCTGAAGCGACTGTCCAAGTTGGCGGTGGGAGTAGGATGGTTTCAGTCCTACTTGGATGGTCCAGAGGGTGATTCTTGGTGAGTGCTCTTCGTTTCCATTTGGGATTCCTCAGGGTTTGATTTTATCCCCTGTGTTGTTGAACATGTATCTACATGAAACCTCTGAGTGAGGTCAACTGGAGTTTTGGAGTATGTTGTCAGCATTATGCTGATGACACACAGCTCTATTCCCCCTTTGCATCTGCAGGTGTGGCAGTGGGTGTGTAATGGACTGGACAAGAGCCAGTAAAGTGAAGCTTAATCTGGATAAGGCTCAGGCACTGTTAGTGGGTGGCTCTCTGGACTGGATAGATTGAAGGTTGCCCATTCTTCATGGGTTTGCACTCCCTCTGAAGGAATAGGTACACAGTTTGGGAGTACTCCTGGATCCATTGCTGTCACTTGAGGCTCAGGTGGCCTTGGTGGGACAGAGTGCCTTCCATCAGCTTTGGCTGATGGCCCAGCTGTACCCCTGTCGGGACAGGGCTAACCTAATTTCTGTCACGTGCTTTGGCAACATCTAGGTTAGATTTCTGCAATGTGTTATACATAGGGCTGTCTCTGAAGAAGGCTGCTGCAAAATTTGGTGGTCAGGTTGCTCACCAGGGCAATACAGTTTGAGCATATAATACCAATCCTAGCCCAGTTGCACTGTGTGCAGATTAGTTTCTGGGCCCAATTCAGAGTACTGGTTTTGACCTATAAAGCCTTAACCGGCTCAGGATTGCTATATATCAAGGACCACCTCTCCCTATATGCGCCATCCCGGACCCTGCGTTCATCATCTGATGCTCTTGCTTGTCTGCCTCCACGATGAGGGGTCTGGAGGGCATCAAAGCAAGAATGGGCCTTTTCTGTGGTGGCTTCCCACCTGTGGAAGGTTCTCCCCAGAGAGGCTCGCCTGATGCCATCATTGCATATCTTTAGGCACCAGACCAAAACATTCCTCTTCTTCCAGGCCTAATTAAACAACCTATGGACTTTTAAACTGGGGGGGGTGTGTGTATTGTTTTTGTATGTTACTGTGTTACATATTTTTGTGTTTTTATATTGTAAACTCCGCTGTAATCCTCAGATGAAGATACACATTTGATGATGATGATGATGATATGGGACTTTTTTCTTTTTCTGCAGCTTGACATATGGTCCAAGTCCAACTATCAAGTGTTTCAAAAGGCAAGTTTCTTTGTTTCTAAATGGTGTCTGCTTTATGTTATGTTATTTTATTTCATATTTGAATATGACCTTATATATACACTGTTTTCAAAATGTGCACATACTGTCTCTTAGGTTGCATATGCATGCTGAAGTAAGTGAATGCTTGTTTAGTTAAATGTTCTGGCAACTGTTCTGGATTCCACCTTCCTCAACACACTTGGAGCTTCCCAGATGTGCTAGAATGCAAGGTGATCATTTTAAGAACAGGTTGAAGTAATTCTCTGCGCATGCAGAGAGCTCACAATTTGGTTTAAAAGAAAACACTCAATTTCATTCTGTCTTCTATAGTACGTCTCTGGAGTATTAGGATGTTACAGTCTATAGATCCAGAATATGCAGGAAAATAGGGATTGTCAAAAGCACCATTTATTAAGGCAGGGTATGATAAAATATAGGAACTTGTCTCAATGGGTAATTAACACATTTAAAGTAGATTAAAAAAATAATGGATTTACAGTATTTTTAAATATTACATTTATGTCAAGATTAATTTTGGTTAATCTCCTAGCAGGTAGCCTTTTGTAATGTAGTCTCTCAATTGTTGGCTGTATTATCATTTTTGCCTTGAACTTCGTTTGTAAACAAAGACACATAGAATTGTAGAGTTGGACGGCATCCCAAGGGTCATGCAGGAATGTACTATGTAACAACCAGGATTGGTTGAATGGTTCAGTTTTCAGGTGAATTTTCATTTTAAGCTTCTGTAAATTTGGGGCATGAATTCTTGTTGCTGTTCTTATACTTCATATGTAAGTTGAGCTATTGCTACACACTCTCCAATACACACACACACACACACACACACACACACACACAAATTACAAGACATTTGGTCCATTATAAGAGCTATTGAAACTGTAGTAATTGTATTGTAAATAGCCACTTGCTTGGCAGGGTCACAGTTGGTGACTAAAGATTACCATGTGTGTACAACATGTTAGGCCTCAGCAGGTGTTGCCAAGAAACAGGTTGCCAGCCCAAGGCAGGGCAGAGATCTCATCAGCACTGGGACAACAGTGAAGAAGACAAAGCTCAGGGCAAAGCAAAATACCGCATTTTTCGCCCTATAGGACGCATCCTCCCATAAGGCGCACCTAGTTTTTTTTGGGGGGGGGATTTATTTTTTCCCCCAGGCGCGGGGCAGCCCCCAGAACAGGCAACTCTCCGCAAGCCACGGGAGCTCAGCGCGCCCAGCCTTCGTCGTGCAGGCAACTCTCCGCAAGCAGCGGGAGCCCAGCGCAGGGCTCCCGCGCCTTGCGGAGAGGTGCGCGAAGTCTGGACGCGCTGGGCTCAGCGCGCCCAGCCTTCCGCATGCAGGCAACTCTCCGCAAGCTGCGGGAGCCCGGCACGGGCTCCCACGGCTTGCAGAGATCTGCGGGAAGCCTGGAGAGCGAGAGGGGTCGGTGCGCACCGACGCCTCTCGCTCTCCAGGCTTCAGTGAAAGCCTGCATTCGTCCCAAAGGATGCACACACATTTTCCCTTCATTTTTGGAGGGGGAAAAGTGCGTCCTATGGGGCAAAAAATACGGTACCTGGACTCCTGACAAGTTGCTTAGGCCTAGAAGCTGGTTTTGAGCCTGGGGCTTTATAGGTCCTTTTTGATCCTGTTTGACCTGTGCAGCTAATAATTTTCACTCTGTCTGGTTCTACATTCCATTGAGCTTTGTTTGACAGGCTTCCCTGGCAAGTCAGAGTGCTGGTGACGAAGGTCCTGGTTTCAGGTGTGGGCAGGCACACACATGCATCTACATGTATATGTTTAAACTTACTATTTTTCTTTGAAAATAAGAAAGATTATTATTTTAAGTGTCTGTCTTAAATGTGATTTGACACATCACATTATACACAGGCTAAGGAACCTAGTTTACATGGAATGACACTAAGGCCTAATAGGACTTGTCTAGCATCCTATGCGACATCCTAGAATGCCACATATGAAGAAGTTCTTCAACAGATGTGGAAAATAGTTTCCTAAAAATCGAAAGTTTTGAAAAGCCATTGCTCAAGTTTGTCAAACAAATACCAGCAAGAGACTCTTGAGCTTGGCCTGGCCTGGAGGCATGCCACTATAATTCCTGTATAGATATTTCTTGAAACTTTTGGTGCCAGGATTCTGTGTTCACCCAGAAGTAAATAATTTTGACCTGTGATGCCAGCTTCCTCCAGATCAAAGAATAACTTCAGGGAGGTAGGTAGCAGCCCATTCCCTGACTAGCATTAAGAGGCAGAATAACACAGTAGTTAGTCTGTTACCCGAGAGACAAGTGAGAATTAATGGATTAAGCAAACCTTTCTCTCCCTTCTGAAAAATATATTCCTTGTGTCAGGTAGCGAGGAGTATAATGCAGAGCAACTTAGGACAAAATCATCCATGATAATCCTTCATCAATAATGCTTTAAACTAATGGGTTTTTATTTATAAATGGGTCCAGGCTGTAGGCTTGGCTCTCTTAATGCTTTAGGATTCCAACATTAGATGTGTGTGTGTGTGTGTGTGTGTGTGTGTGTGTGTGTGTGTGTGTGTTCATGCACACACACACATACTCGCGTGCACGCACACACACACACACACACACACACATTTACAGTGGTACCCCGCAAGACGAACGCCTCGCAAGACGGAAAACCCGCTAGACGAAAGGGTTTTCCGTTTTGGAGGCGCTTCGCAAAACGAATTTCCCTATGGGCTTGCTTCGCAAGACGAAAGCCCATAGGGAAATCTCCGGGACAGCGCAGCGCGTCTTCCCCACTGTCCTCGGACCTCCTCCGAAGCCTGGCGGCGGGGCGGAGAGACCTCTTCCCGCCGCCAGGCTTCGGAAGGATGCTCCGAAGCTAAAGAAGCTAAAGCAGCCTGCCGCGACCCTCTCCCGGCTGGAGAGGTGACGCGCGCCTATGGCAGGAGCCTCCATAGCCGAGCGTCACCTCTCCAGCCAGGAGAGCGCGCGCGGGGCTAAAGCAGCCCCCCGCGACCCTCTCCCAGGTGACGCGCGCCTATGGCATGGCAGGAGCCTCCATAGCCGAGCGTCACCTCTCCAGCCGGGAGAGCGCGCGCGGGCTAAAGAAGCCATAGCCCCGCGACCCTCTCCCAGCTGGAGAAGTGACTATGGCAGCAGCCTCTGAAGGATGCACCGAAGCCTGGCGGGGGGGGGCGGAGAGACCTTCTCCCCGCGCCAGCCTTCGGATGGCTGTCCTGAAGACTTGGGGTGGGAGAAGGGTTTTCCTTCCCACCACCAACATTCAGAATGCTGTTCTGAATGTTGGCGGTGGGGAGGAAAAACCCTCCTCCCACGCAAGCCCCGGGAACAGAGGGAAAGCGCTGCGCGCCTTCCCCTCTGTTCCCGTACCTGTGCTGAAGGCTTGCGGTGGGGAGAAAAGCCCTTCTCCGCACCGCCAGCCTGGCAAGCGGTTTCCCTAGGAACGCATTAATTGATTTTCAATGCATTCCTATGGGAAACCGTGCTTCGCAAGACGAAAAACTCGCAAGAAGAAAAAACTTGCGGAACGAATTAATTTCGTCTTGCGAGGCACCACTGTATGAATGCTTTCTTTTTCAAATGCTTGATACAGAGGAATTAAAAAGCCAGTAGTAAGATGTAACTTGCCTCAGGTTCATTGTACACAGCCCCATTCACAGACCACATAAACCAATGTGCTTAAGCTGAAGTCCTTCTAATCCCACAGTGGTCAATGGCATTGATGAATTGTAAAGATCTGGCTGTATTCAGCATTCTCATTCCGCTACTGCAAGAGCCCTTGCGCTAGCAGACGGCAGTTCAAAGGTTGCACAACAATAGAATCCAATGCAACAGTTGTGCTAGTGGAACCTGGTTGCACAACAGCTGGTTCTTGTTATGCTCTCCGTTGCACATCAATATTTGGTAATTTACTGTTTTCCCCCTTGTGCAACAACATTCCGTAAGTGCAACAATACCCCAAAGTCACTTTACACACAACTTTTTGTCTTTCTGGCTCTGTTTTTTATTCTGTAGCCTAGTGCCAGAATTAGGTGGCCCACCTCCTGTCACTGCCATGATATTACTGCAAAAGCCTACTTAAACCTGTGGCCCTCCATGTTGTTGGACTACAGCTCCCATCAACACTGACCATTGGCCATGTTGGCTGGGCTTGATGGGAGTTGGGAGTCTGTGGGTGGGTTCCAAGCCTGTAGAATCCAAGGAGGCTATGGTCTCACACTCAGTATTGCCAAACAATGTTAGGATAAGTCAAGCATGCAAAGTCAAAGACCAGTCAAGATCAGGCATGAATCATTCTGAGTTCAAAATGTGGTCTAGAGGCAACATTAGAAACTCCTGAGGTCAACAACAGAGAAGATCCAGTCTAGCAGTGTGAGTCAAGAATTCTACTTTTTAGGGTCAGGCAGCTAAGGAACTGCGATGTTCCAGCAGCTGAAAAGCTCAACATGAAGACAAGGCCATTCCTAATTCCAGCTGAGAATGCTTTCCCATAAGGGGTTCTTTATTCCTGTCACATGCTAGTTTAGTCTTTCAAGTACACACTTCCATGTGGGCCTGAACATCTTTACTCTCAGATGTTGGCTGAACATCTCTCAAACTCTACTGGGAGCTCATCAGCCCACATTCACCCCAAAGTCTCTCAAGAGGGTCCACCGGAGGCAGCTTTTGAGGGGTTCCTCCCCAGACTCAGGATCTCCAGGGCTAGTGATGGAAGACCAGGGGTGCCAACTTGAATAAAATATTGGGGGGGGGAGGCAGGTAAGCCCCTCCCCAGATAATGAATTGCATGATGTGGCACGCACACACCATATGAATGGCAATGTCCATCAACTTAGGGGGCGATTCCCTCAAATATTTTATTGTAGGTGCAAAAACCCCTTGGCCCCTAAGAGTTGGTTCCTATGTGGAGGACCCTGCACCCCCAAGTGTATGGTCAGCCAGAGGTCTGGTTCATCCTTTGAGGAGTTGCTGTCCGGATTGGGC